CTGTCTATGGCATCAGTAATCTCCCTATGCTCCAGTCATGAGTTTCCAAGGCTATGGAAGCCCTCTGAGTTCTCCGATTCTTATCTGGTTTAGACAAGGTCATAGTCAAAGTGGAGGTTCTCTCCTCCCTTCAGAGAAAGGTACCTCCTTCTTTGAAGACCTGTTCTTTCCACTGGGATCTCACTCACAGAGATCTTTTTGCCAGAGTGTCTTGGCTTTCCATGCCTGAAATACTCTCATGGGCTTTTCAGCCAGATCTGAATGCCTTTAGGGCTGATTCTGAGGCCAGAGTGCTATTTAGGACATCTGCCATTCTATGAGTCTGCTGAGTATCTCACTTCCCATGTTGGATCACTCTCTCCTTTATTTATTCTATCGGTTAGTGTTAGCAGGTACTAGACTTGTTTATGTGCTCCCTTTGACTCTTAGTCCTTTCATTATGATCAATTGTGAACTGAAATTGATCACTTGGACTAGTGAGATGGCATTGGTACATGCCACCTTGATGGGATTAAATTGGAGTCCCCTGGTATGTTTCTAACTCTACCATTTGGGGCAAGTCAGCTTGAGCATGTCCCAAATTATACATCTCTTCCCTCTCTTATTCCTACTCTTATCAAAACTTCCTGCTCTGAAATATTCTACTGAAGCTGACTTAGCTCAGCCTTAACCTTCCAGGTGGTCTTTTGCTACCTTCTTCAAATACAAAATTGACCATGCATTTCCTAAACTTTAGTGTATGATTTGATTTTCTTTATCCAAAAGCAAAAGCAATGACCAATTCATTCAACTTGACTTGATTTCTAAAAGCAGAGGGCCTCCAGCCAAACTCTTCACTTCCTCATCTCTCTCATGCTTCCTAATATAGATGTGTTACTTCTGCCTGTCCTGTCTGTGAACCTACTCTGGGGATCTATCCCATGCACAGCGTGTGCCTTATACCCCTAAAATGGCCAGTTAGCCATGGGAAGGTCTCTGACTCAAGTGCAGAGCACAGGGACTGGCCAGCATATGGGGCAGGTAACCAGACTGTTCTCTTAGGACATGAAAGGGCTCTTGCCAGGAAACTGTGAGAGCAACACAAGAAGGGTCCTGCAAGTCAAAACAGAAGAAACCAGTCAGTACAAAGGAGTCCTGGACAGGGACCACCATGCAGTCCCAGAGAGCGACAGAGCAAGTAGCTGCTGCATTCCAGTGGTCAGTTCCCAGGAGGCTTGGTTGCATAAGACAACTTGTTCCTGAGTCTCCGTAAAACCCTGGAACCCTTACCACTGGCCCCACATTTGCGTGGGTGACCTCCATGGAGACTTTTTCTTTGCATCTAAAAGAACCCAACCAGAGTGGTCAGCTCACTCAAATGTAATTGTTGCCCCGTATGTGGTTCTTGCCTTTGCACAAGAAATAGGCTCTCCCAGGAATGCTCTGTGTCCTTTTTTTCTGTATTATGACAGCTACCTACTCATCCTTCAAGAAAACAAATGCCCTGTTGTAAGTCTCCAGCTCCCCCGGCCACTCCTCTGCATCCCATGTTATTACAACACCTACCCACTGTTGGGTAACTGTTTGTGTTTCTGTATCTGTCTCTGGATGCTCTGCTACTTGTACAGGGTCATATCCTACTCTTGTTTTCACCTCCCAAACCTAGAGTGAGTGGCACATTCTGTTGGTTGCCTACTCACATCCCCAAACCTGGAGCTCACTCACCTGCAGACAGTTCCTATGCACTGTGACTTTCTGGGTCTGCTAAGAGTATTTCAGGAGGCCACAAACACCAGGGAATTAGTGGCCCAGAAGGGAAAGCAACCCCTCAATCAGTGTGGTGGTGGGAGGCTGCGGATCAATACCTCAGCTTATTTCCTTTGGGGGACTCACTGAGTTCTAACAGTGCCTTAGAAGGTCCTTTGAGCCCCAGTAGCTCATAGTGGAGTTCTTCTCTTCTTAGCCTCATTTCCTCCCTCCCTTTACCATGTTCTCTAGAATCCTCCCCCAAAGAAACTACTTGCCCCTAAATAAATGCCTGTCTCAGGCACTGCCTTGGGATGAACCCAGTTAGCACCGGAGATAAAGCACACAGCGCTCAGCTTGACAGAGAGTGAGTGACTAGCTGAGGCCATGAGCTCCTCACTCCCTTCTCACTGGCATAGGGAGTCAAGAGTGCCCCCTTGTCCTTATCCTGTTTCATTTTCTTCACTCCAGATAGTACTGCAGGTCAAGTATGTTGACCTCAGGTTCATCAGCACTCTCACTTCCCTTGGCCACTGTCCATTCAGGGAAGCCTACCCTGATGTAGCCCTGGCCTCTCTGTACTTCTGCCTCCACCCAGCTGAGCACTGTAGAAGGAAACTCTCCTGCCAGGTTGGTTGGGCCATTTCACATTCATGAATTCCAGCCCTTGCTGTATCTTCAAAACTTTCTGCCTTGCCCCTAGTTCACTTTTCTTGAGTGATGACTATGTCCCCTCTCACCTGTTTGCTTGCCTCTTCTTCCTTCTCCCACTACTCTTCCAGTATCTGAAGTCCTGAGTGAAGTGTCAAGTTTTAGTGCTACATGGAAAAAGGGCTCAAATTCTAGATCAGGGAAATAAGCCACGATGAAACCTCTTGGTATAGCCTGTCAACCTGTCAAATGGTCTGGGCTTGCCAGAGGAAGGAGGTGCCATGGTGACAGTGCCACAGAAATACAACACTTGGGTAAGTTCCGTCGCTACAGATGAGGAAAACAGGCACAGTGAGGTTAAGTAACTTGCCTAAGGTTATGCAGCTAGTAAGTGGCATAGCAGGATGTTAACTCGGACAGTCTGCCTCTGAAACTCATGAACTTAATTACTGTATGACACTGCATATTGATTTCTGCATATAAAACTATTGGTAAATATTGAAAATGTAGCACAATAGAATCCAATATAATCCATCATCTGCCTCCCAATACACATTAAACAATACATGTCAAGCACTTCAGATGAAAAATACTGTTTCTATATTATGTGCATTATTACATACCTAGTATGAGTGGATATGAATCTAAAATGAGTGTGCACTTTTCTCCCAGTGGTCCCATGGATGTCCACCCTGGCTCAAGGTAAACTGAAGTACTGAAACATAACTGGCTCTGTGGTAGGCGTGCTTCAGCTTCCGCATCTGAAGAATGGACGGTGGGAGTCAAGTGTCTCAAGCCTTTTCCAATGCTAAGATTTTGTTGTTTTTCATCTTTGAATAGACAATAAAAACCTGATTTCAAAGCTGGCTAGATGACACCTGAAAGCCCACAGATGTGGGAGATTGGAGTGAGGGAGGGGAGCCTGTGTGAGGATCGCTACAAAATCTCTGTGCTATTTAGGACTTCAGTAGCAGCATTTTCATGTCTAAATCACCCATGTCAGACGTGTGAGCCCCCTTCAGATTTGCAAACTGCTCCTGGAAGTACAGGAGGTAGCAGACAGTTCTTATTTCAGAGTATCCTTAATGTCGAAAAACAGGCACTGATTAGGAGCTGTCGTAGGCCAGGATTTGGGTGTGCTAGATATAGAAAGGATTAGCCCATCAGCTGCTGGCTCAGAGGGTCACAGGCATACATTCCGTGTGGCCCAGTTTCAGCTTCTGTCTGGGCTGCTACCTGTCCTGCCGCCTTCCTATCAGACCCACATGTTTTGCTTTTTTTTTAAGATTGATTTTTATGTATTTGAAAGGTAAAATTTCAGAGAGAGGTCTTCCATCTGCTGGTTCACTCCCCACATGGCCACAACAGCCAGGGCTGGGCCAGGCTGAAGCCAGGCGCCTGGAAGTCTATGCAGATGAATGGCAGTAGGGAAGCCACTATTCACAGCTGTTCCCAGGTGCATTGGCAGGGAGCTGGATCAGAAGTGGATTAGCTGGGACTCCAAGTGGAGCTCAAGTGGGATGCCAGCGTCACAAGGCAGCTGCTGGCCACCAGGCCCAGAGTTTAAAATACACAGGAAGAGCTACTGCATGGTAAACTCTTGGTGGGAATGTACCACACAGTGGGGTCAGATGTGAACCCACAGAAACAATTTTTACTGGCCTGACCAAGGAGAGAAGAGCATGTCTGACCTTTGGTCACTTTAGAATAAGGTTGGTGTCAAACATGACCCTATTAAACCTCCAAGGCATGCTAGGAAATGGGGTCTAGAAAAGACCACCTCGAAAGTGTGCACACAGAATACTGGGGAGGGAAAAGAAGTGAGCACAGGCTCGCTGACACTAGCTTAGGCCCTTTCTCCCAACAGAGAGGATGGAAGAGGCCTGGTGCTCCCCCAGGTTCATTTGCCTCCCCGCTGCACCCCACCTCCCTTCACACAGCAGCTTTTGCCCTGGGACTTGGCTTTTCTGCCTCACAGGTGGCCATTGCTGATTGCAGGCCCCTGCAGGCCAGAAACCAGGGCTCCTTGCCCACCCCTTCAGTGGGCTTATGTTTAGTACGTGTGCAGTAAAAGGGGAGCTGATCGGTGTGCGCTCCGTGTGCCGTGCCCAGAGAAACTGTGCTAAGGGGGTCATTTGTGCCATTCCCCTAGCTCCTCGGGGGCCACAGAGGTCCTCCCTGTCCCGTCCCCACCTCTGCCCCCACCGCCTCAGAGAGGCCTTCATACAGTCTTGTTTTGTGTCCCGAAGGGGCTGAGAGGGGCGGCCTGACCTGGGGCCATTCCTCAGGTCGCTGCGCACATCCCATGCGCTTGCTTTGGGAAGGGACTAAATGAGACATCTTTTTTTTGGGGAGGATCTCGAATAAACAAGTCCGTTTTCATTTTGTAACAGCTTCTCTTCTCCCGTGCTGGAATCGTCCTGGTTGCCAGAGACCCAGCCTCGCCCCTCGCCGCGCCCCTGCAGAGGCGGGGAGGCTATTGGGCCCGCACTGGCGGTGCAGGACCGCCCCAGCCGCAAGGGGCCTTCGTGGGAGTCCAGAAACGAGACCCCCAAAACACGGCCAGCCCCCAGCTTCGCCCCTTCCTGCTCTCCCTCGACCACCCCCGCCCCGGCGACACTCACCCTGCCACTTGAGGACCCGCTCGGGAGAGAGCGCTGCCGCCGCGCCTTCGGTGCAGCGCCGCGGCGCTCCCAGCAGCAGCAGCAGCAGCAGGGACAGCAGCATCGCTAACCACTGAGCTTGCCCGCGCGCCCCTTCTCGTGCCCGCGGGGTCGCAGCCTCCTCCGCGCGGCACCGGTCCCGGACCTCGCCCCCGCTGCGCCCCAATCCACAGTGTGCAGCTGCTCCAGGCTGTGCACGGGGCTGGCGAAGGCCGAGCAGGGAGCTTTTCTCCGCCCTCTCTACTCGGGCTTGGGGAAAGAGAAGAGGGGGTGGCCCATCTGCCCGTCCCAGAAATTCCTGCCTTGGGGGTGGGGAGAGAGGAGGGGAGAGGCTGCGGGTGTGCGCGTTCTGGGGCTCCTCCCGCTTTCAGCGCCGCTCTCTTCTTTCTGGGGAAAGCCAGGAAAGAGTTGGGATGAGCGAGTTGAGAATCTCCAGGACAGGAAGTCTGACATGTGGGTTTGCAAACCCTCCGGATTCTGGTAAACACTGAGAGTTTGGCCTCGGGCAGCTGGGAGTCAACGGAGCTGCTCGGCGAACCCAGGCGCTGTGGGGGCCTCTGGGACTCTGGCTCTGAAGGTGGCACACGTGAGACCCCTAGGGGCCGCCTCGCCGTCCCCACCCGCCTCGTCCCCACCCGCCTCGCTGGAGTAATCTCGACGTTATTCCCTTTGAGCTTTTCTGTGTGTTTTAAAAATGTTTAATATCTGTGAGGGGGCGTATTTGGGGGGGAGGGAGAGGGAGAGAGGGGGAGGAGAGAGAGAGAGGAGCTTTCCCATCCTGTTTCGCTTCCTGGCTTCCTGAATGCCAGTATCAGCTGGGACTGGGCAGGGCTGAAACAATCTAGGTCTCCCACGTGGGTGGCAGGAACCCAATTACTTGAGCCTACACTGAGGCTTCCCAGGGTCAGCACTGGGGCGGGAGTCGGGTGGAGGAGTTGGAATCCACCAGTGAACCGGTCCGGGGAATCAATCAACCTGGATGTGGGTCCAGGTGTGACTTTGTTGCTCAATGACTGCCCTCTCCTGTTTAAAAAAATAACTCCCTACTCCTAAATTACTCTTCAGTCCAGTACAGTCAGTACAGTTATCTCCCTAAACCAGTAAGCAGGAGCCCCCACACACACACTAGAATGTAGTCCTTGCAACTGCAGCCCTTGAAATGGGGGGGGGGGGCGGGGGGACTGGAACCTCTCTCTTAATCTTCGTGAGAACAGGCTAATCTAAGACCTTCCCTAAATAGGACCTTGCTGTCAGTTAATAAAACATAGAGGAAGGAAGGAAACAAAAGAGAAAAGAGAGATGGCAGGACCTTAAAGGACTTACTGTTTTCGGCTACTTCCGCAATTGATATCTTTAAAAAAAATTTTACTTATCTACCTGAGGGGCAGAGCCACAGACAGAGGGACAGAAAGGTCCTCCATCCACTGGTTGGCTCCCTAGCATTGCATTGCTAAGGAACATCCTCTAAGTACAAAACTTACCACTGTGGCAGCAGGCAAACACAGCTCATACATCATGATTAGGTCATAGAGAGAGGCCTTGATGATCATCTCTGGTGAGGAGCAGGGCAGTGAGAGTAAAGGTGCAAGAGGCCAGGAGGAGCCGGAGTGGGCCCAGAAGGTCAAGTGTGTTCAGATAGGTGGGGGCTAGGAGGTGGTCATTCTAGGGTGGTGCAAAGTTGGGAGAAAAAAAAATACAAAGGTTAGCGCATTAGTCCCTGGGACCTTGGGCCACCTCCCACTGCCAGTGGGAGCTGGCCGAGTCATGCACCTGCCACAGGCTTCAGTTTTATCCTCTGTATAATGAGGACAAAATAACAAAGCCTCTGCTGACCCACAGCAGACACAATTCTGAAGTAGCAGAGCTATGAGCACGGGAAGGATAAGGAGAGGGGAAGCCCGCTGTGTTTCACCTCCAGAGCAACTAGCGTAATGAGAGGTGAGGACAGCTTCCTGGCCCTCCAACAGCACATCTCCCATCCTGCCTTCAGAGGTCTCGGAGGAGAGAGACGGGCTTTCATGTCTTCCTGCAGCACTGCAGCTTCGAGGTGGAAATTGGAGGTGGAGCGCTTTCCAGCCTTCAGGAAAATGACCATCATGTATAATCTGGTCTTACCATGTTTCGGGTCTAGCCATGCCACGCCACGGCACGCATTGCCAGGTTACCTTCCTAGTCTCTTCTAGCCTCAGTTGCCTTCTGTGTCAGTGCGGACGCTACTGTTTGCTAAGTGTTTGCTAGTACTCAGAGTGGTGTTGTATTAAGTGAGATAATGAATGTGGAGTGCTTAGCACAGTGACATTTTATGAAGATTCGCTTCAGGGAGCTGAGAGTATATGGGGAGTGGTGAGGCAGCAAAGAGCAAGAGCAAAAGGGAGAGTTTGGGAGCAGGACTGCGAGAGCTGGCTGGTGGTTCTTGTGTCTCCTGGCTCCAAGCAGGAGGGCCCTGGGTGCACAGCCCTTGGCCATCCTCCCAGTGCACTACTTATCTTTTTTTTTTTTTTTTTAATTTTTATCTCTCACCTAACTGTGAGTTCCTTGACAATCAATGGCATTTTACCTCTCTTTGGATCTCCAGGGTGGCACACTTCTTGGTGCTTTGCAAGTGCTTAGATTCTCTGCTGAAGGAAGAAAAGGAGGGAGGGAGAGAGGGGTTGGAGGGAGAAGAAAGGAAGGAAGTGGAAAGGAATATAATGTTTTGGAGTCATTTGAAACTTGAGAAAAATATTAGAAACCTGAATTGTGTGGAATGAAAACAGTGAAGAGAATTCAAGAATTAATAACTCACTTAATATGTTGGTTGTGGTGAGGGTCCACATTAACCAAATGTTCTCAGTACCGTGTAAATGAAGAAAGGGTGAGACCCTAGTTTGTAATAAAGATGTAACTATGGGAAGAGTGAAGGGAACCAAAACAAGAGTGAAACGCCCTGTATCTGCAAGAGCTGGGTGCGGCCATTACTACACCTAGGCCTGAAGAAACTGGGGCAGGCAGTGGTGACAAACTGGGTAGCCTAAGCCCAGTGAGAACCAAACCGTTGGCTGCACAGGAGAAGAGCAATTGCTATCAACTGAAGCCTGAAGAAGGAAGCGAAGAGAATGAATTCCCCATGTGTCTTCTCCTCCCCTCTGATCCCTTCCCACTGACCAAGCTCAGCAGGAATTCAGTGGGCAGGAGTCTGCAGAAGTCGGCTTCCCAGAGCACAGAACCACGTGGAGAACTACAGGCAGTGAGTCCAGAGAAGCAGAGAACATCCAATATAAGTTCCTTCTGTCAGTCTTTGTCCTGGTTCTGAGGACCCACAGACGATGGGGCAGAATGGGTCCTTGCCCATAGATACCGTTCAGCCTTTGAAAAGAAGGAATAAGGCCATTTGTGACAACATGAGTGACTTGAAGGACATTATACTCGGTGAAATAAGCCAGGAAGTGACAGAAAAATGCTGTCTGATATCACTTACATGTGGAATCTAAGGGGAAACCAAGTTGAATAAATAGAAACGGTAGAATGGTGATTACTGGCCAGAGAGGAAGAGGAAGCAGGGAGAATTAGGTCAAAGGCGCAAAGTTGCAGTTATGTTGGATGATTAAGTCCACACCGATAGCCTGTAGACTGTAGTTATTGTGTTGAATCCTGAAAATTTGCTTAGTCAGATTTTGCATATTTTTTGCCATATATATTAACTATGGAAGGTAATGGATGTGTAAACTTGTTTAGCCTTCATAATTGTTTCACTATGATTATGATTCACAAAACATGTCGCACACTTTAAATATATACATTAAAATAAATTTTAAAAGCAGAAATGCATGCGAGTGCTATGTTAGTTTCCTTGGGTTGCCATAACAAAATACTACCAACTGGGTAGCATAAGACCACAGGAACTCATTCTCTGTGTTGTAAGCCAAGATTCTAAAATCAGGGTGTCAGTAGGGTTGGTCATATTTGAGGATTTCTGGGAGAATCCGTGCCATTCCTCCCTACCAGCTGCTTGTTGTGGCCAACAGGCATTGATATTATGTGACTTGTAGCACATTGCTACCGTCTTTGCATTGTCATGAGGGTTTCTTCCCTGGGTATCTGCCTCAATTCCCTTGGTCTGCTTATAAAGATATCAGTCATTGGGTTAGGGCCTACCACAATCTAATATGGTCCCATCTTAGTTAATTACATCTGCAAAGGCCTTATGTCCAAATAAAGTCAGATTCTGAGGTCCTAGTGAATATGATCCTTTCAGAAACACTATAACCCAGTACAACTACCATATGATGTAACCACTCCATTTCTAGACATTCACCCAAGAAAACTGAAAGTGTGCATCCACATAAAATTTTATATGAATATATATAGCAGCTTTACTAATAATAGCCTCAAACTATTGTCTGCCTGGAGATGAATGGATAAATAGTTGTATATCCATATAATAAGGCAATACCACTTAGCAATGAAAAGTATGAACTGCTGATGCATGTAACAACATGGCTGTATCTCAAAATACTTATGCAGAGTGAAAAACATAGATGAGAGAATATATACTTTATGATTCCATTAATTTAAAATTCTGGAAAACGAATACTGATATATGGTATAGAACAAAAGCTGGTAGTTGCTTGGGAATGGGAATGGGGGCTGCAAGGGGGGAGACTGAGCTGAGCCAGGAGGGAGTGGAAGAATGTTCTGGACAGAGGGACTAGAGGTGAGAGTGCATATCAGGAGCTGGAGAAACTCTGGCAGCAGACACATTTAGTATCGCTTTGGGGAGTTCTGGTTAAATGAAAAAGCTTGTGCTAGGTCCAAAATTATATTAAGAATATTATACTGAAGTAAAAAAGAAGTCATTAGGGGTTTCACCATGACCGGAATTGTGTTTTACATTTTAGAAAGAATGTTCCTGCTATAGTACAGAGAATGGATCAGAGATGAGCAATTTGTAAGGGTCAGGAGGCTGCTGCCAGTGTCTGGATAAAATGATGGCAATTGTCTGGACTAGGAGAGAGGCAATGAAAGATGAATATACATTTCAGGATATTTTAGAGGGGGTGGGCATTTAGTAGTTGGCCTACCTAGGTTAAGATGCCCATGTCTCATATCAATTTATGTGGGCTCGATACCCACCTGCAGCTCTGGATTCCAGCTTTCTGATAATGCAGACCCTGGAAGGCACCAGACAAAGGCTCAAGTAATTGCGTGTCTACCACCCAGGAGAGGGACCTGGACTGTGTTTTTATTCTTAGCTTCGGCCCAGCCTGGCCTAGACCTACCCATTGTGGGGCATTTGGGGAGTTAGCCAGCATTTGGGAGCTCTCTCTCTTTGTCTCTCTCTGCTACTCATCTAAATAAATAGTTGATTTTAAGATTTTTTTTTATCAGGCAGAGTGGACCGTGGGAGAGAGAGAGAGACAGAGAGAAAGGTCTTCCTTTTTCCGTTGGTTCACCCCCCAATGGCCGCTGTGGCCGGCGCGCTGCGGCTGGCACACCGTGCTGATCCGAAGCCAGGA